TCACGTTCATTACATATACGACTGCGGTTAGAGTCCGAGCTGCGAACGAATTTTTGAAAATATGCAAATTTTCAGTTCATTGAAAAATTGAAAGTATTGCTCGAACGGTCGTTTTTAAAAATCCATGTTCATTCGCATATACAGTTGCGGTTCAGGCCCAAGTTGCTGAAAATGCACGTTCATTTGCGTACACAGCTGCGCTTCAGGTCCGAGTTGCTAACGATTTTCGGGTTCAGGAGCTGCTTGGGGCTGTGATTGCGGGAGCTAGGGGGCTGAGGGCTGAGTTTAAAACTCTTATCTCGCACATGCATAGAGAATATCATTGCAAAGTTTCAGCCTTCTACTTTGCCCGGTTCGCGAAATCGTTTCCCGCCAACACATTTCTTTGGGGGTCCCGTACGCGGGGTTTAGGCGCGTATAGGGAAAGATCTTAAGACGGCAGAATGACACACGTGGTAGGAACATATATTCGAAGTTTCAGTCTCCCAGCTTTCCTAGTTGCTGAGATGAAAATGGGTGACAAAATGCACTCGCTTTCCGAAAACGCGCACACACACAGACAGCCTCTCGACAATATGCGTTTTTGCTGGCTGTAGCAGCGCTATGTCGCTGCTATAGCGCTGAACAGCAAAAACGCATAAAAATGCAAATCTCCAGCTCATTAAAAGGTGAAAATGTTGCTAGAGCGGTTGTTTTTCAAAAAAACCAAGTGCGCAAATGAATTGGATGTTCATTTACATATTTGGATTGGGGCGGTCGTCCGCAGCAAAACGCACTTGTTTCTGATTTTTCGATAAAGTTGTGTATTTCTTATGCTCACCTGTAGGGAATTTTACCTCCAAGCAGAATTAAGACCACAGTCGAAAGGAGAATATCCCAGCGAATTTTCAGCCTCGTACCTTATCCGGTAAGCGAAATATCCAGTTCTCTACAAATATCTTTTTAGTGCCCTAATTCGTGGCGTTAGTGGAAATCGGTACTCATTTTACACGTACGATTTCCAATACGGATACAAACATGTTGACAAAATTTCAGTCGCTGTTTTTTGGCAACTTTCCGGGTTAGCCCAGGACCAGGTTACAAACTTTACGTGATCGTGCGCGTTGCAAAAGCGTGCGCGGGAGCTGAATTTGAAATCTTTAGCACTGAAAAACTAAAATCTTCAATTTAAAATCTACACAGAGAATATCCCTGCAAAATTTTAGCTTTTTACCTTTGCAACGCTACAATTCAACCTATTTCCCTCCTCTCACTAACCTTTAACACTTCGACCTACTTCCCTCCACTCACTAATTTTTAACAATTCCATCAAATTCTAAGTAATTCCATATTACCTACCTTCTCACTCACTAACTACCTTACCCTCCTTTTCCCTTCAATTGTTTTCTTTACATAAATCCCTTCCGAAAACCCAGGTTCTCAGTCTCAGATTCAAAGCTAGTCACTGGTCTGCCACCTGCCCCAACTAGCGCTACTAACTGGTCGCCTTGACACGACTAGCGTCCCCCTTCGGCTAAATAGCTTGTGCGGCCCCTCAGCTTGTCTTTTTATTGAAGTGAAGCTTTTATTGGAGAATAAAGTGCTGGCATTCTTCGCTTTCTTCCGCTGCTGCAGTCAAAGACTGCCTAAGGACCTAACATGGGGACTGAGTCGACTTTGGTTCAATAACTACGCAGCGAAGCAGAGAAGGGAAGAAACTAACTCGTCTTCATGAGCCGTCCGGCCAGCGAAAAGAAACAGGAGAGCGTCGAAGCAGTAATGAGCGAGTTTGGCATCAAAAATGCCGCACACTTGCAAAAAGTACTGCAAGAATGGAGACCGGACTTGCAGCTGCTGCAGCAATACGGCGCTGCTTCGGTGACCGACTTGGTACGAGCAAGTGGCAGGCAGAACACATCAAGCAGTGGAAGCCAACGCAGTGGCAACACACCTGCTAGCTCGGCTGGTGCACGCGTGTCATCTGCCGTACGTCTGTCCTTGCGAAAATGTTGGTAAAGACAATTAGATTCTTATTGACATTATATTACATTTACGTGCACGTATCCTTGTTTGGAGTGTGCGCATAGTCTGACCAACGCATTGTATTCCACATCGTGAGCAACTAATGCAATATCACTGTGTTTTGCAGTGCAGAAGCGAGCGTGAATCCGGTGCAGTAATACTAAAACATTTCTTGGATACGTGTGAAACCACCCACCCGTTGGAACTTAGTAATGTACAGCAAATACAACTCGATCCGCAGGGAACAGTTGGACGCTGCGGAAGTTGTTCTCCTGCATTGTGCATGGTATAACGAGAATCAGCATCCACGCTAAGTCGGTAGACTAGTTTAAGATTGTAGCTACCTCTTTCAGCCGTTAAGGTGAGGTAGGACGCAGGAGGCAGCTCATCCAACCGACCTGATTCGCCCATGTTATATGAGTGTAACATGGGCAGCGAGTGCGTTTTTTGAAACAAGGCGTCCTAGACAATGAAATCTGCCATCCACTAAAAAATTCAGATAGCAACTAAGGAATCGAACAAAAGTATAGAAACAGTGTAACTGGGCACTGTAACCCAAATGTGTGGAGGTTCCGAGTAGCGTGTGTGGAATTAAAAAAGCTGAATTTTGATAAAGAAATAAATCCAACTTTAAAATTCAAGAAAATTCAAGAAAAACTATAGAAAACAGTAGGCAGCGAAGTCGAATAGTATACAAAAATTCATTGCATTAAGGCTGTAAGCACATCATCATCAACATCGTACCACTTACGGTTTGGTGGAGCACCAACAGCAACGCTAGCGTCAGCGACTAAGACGCAAAAGCCAAGCTGCCGCAGACGGTTAGCAATTTCCTCTGCTCTCTTTGCAGCAAGTGATTGCTCTCTTGTTAAATCATTCCATATAGCAATTGAATTGCCGTGGGGTTTGAAACCTTTACTTTAAGCGCGCTTCCATTTACCATATTTATCTTTATCTTCCTGCTTAACAAATGAACAGAGAATGCAACGACTGCTGTCTCTTCCAGTCCAGTGTATAGATCGAAGCAGTAGTGATCGGGCCTCTTCTGCGCTTCGGTGGAAACCTTCAACAATTAGACGCTGAAATAAGTCGTTGGGCTTGCTAATTTGGCAAATCGCAGATCCATCTTCTAGTTGTACCATTCGTTTAGTCTGTGCGTAATCGAATCTATAAATACATAAATTGAGACTTCGGAACATGCGCTCATTTCGTTCAGTGCGTTTTGTATTTTCACGAATAAATTTGTCATGTTGTTCCACTTTTGCCGAAATTTCTTTAATTTGATTGCGTAAATCCTGAAAACAGAGTCTATGTAACTAAGTCAAAAGTAGACTAAGTAGGTGCTGTTAGTGAAGTAAGTTAAAAACTTAGTCGAAAGCGTACCGCTGCCGGTACGAGGATGCGTTTTTTGCACAGTTCCCCCGCAGGTTTTTTCTCGCCAGTGGTACGTTCTTCCCGGCAAATGCTTCTAGCTTAAAGAATTGGGACTGACCATCATGACTGTTAGAAATTATTACAGTTACTCCTAATCCATGCCCAAAAATCCAGCGCTCGGTTGCAGAGTTACGTCAAATTTCATGTGTTCGTACTTGACTGACAAGGTGAATACTTTCTTCGCCCACAGCTGCTTAAAAACGGTCCTGGGCAGTGCTCAGAAAGTTTCAGCACTACAGCTGCTCAAGTTGCAGAGTTACGTCAAATTTCATGTGTTCGTACGTGAGTGGCAACGAGAACGCTTTCATCACTCGCGATTCTTCAAACACAGCCCTGAGTGGCGCTCAGAAAGTTTTAGCACTCCAGCTGCTCTAGTTGTGGAGCTACGTCAAATTTCACTTGCGTACGCGCAAAACGTACGTGAGACATGAAAGTGACGTGTAAGTCGTTTTTGCGTGCATCAGGTCAAAGGCTACCGCCAGCCACGCCCAGAAAGTCCAGATCTTCTGGCTGGTTCATTCTGAATTTACAAAAGCGCATGCGTGAAATTTTCACGTGTTCGTACATGAGATGTAGAAGAGCTGACGAGTAATTTACTTCCACGGACACAACAGTAGACGACAAGTAAAGCTGCAAAATTGTAGCTCTCTGCAGCTTACTGGTAACCTTAAATCTGAAGTTGGCACGATGCCAGTTTAAACTTTGACGTGTGCGCACGTGAGACCTGGGGAGCGTGAAGGCTGAATTTGAATCTTTGGATTAGACGCGGCCAAGGAACATCTCTGTGAAGTTCCTGCCTCCTAGCGTGCGTGGGCCGTTCCCTAAGAAGCTTTTCCCCGAAAAAAAACTTTCACGCGCCCTTACATGAGAACTACGCGAACCTGAGCATCCATTTCAAGGATACGAAGCTGCACATTTATGTGTAGATTAAGCCAACAAATTTTCAGCCTTGCAGCTTCTGTGGATCTCGAGATGAAAACTCGTTACAAACGAACAACAGACACACACACACACACACACACACATACATACACACAGAGACAACCCCTCGACAATACGCATTTTTGCATTGCATAGCTGCAAAAAACGCATAATGAAGTAGTATGAACAGGCATAATGGGAGAGGACTACGTCATCTCCCGACAGAGTAAATTTTCTTTGTCCGCACACTACGTGTGTGTAACTGAGTAAATTGAGATAGCCAGCGACTATCTCACCAATGCCAAGAGAGAGGAAAAAAGAGAAAGACCAAAAGAAAAAAGAGATATGGGAAGGAGGAGAAATATTAAGGAGAAAACTTGTAGGGGAGAAGAAGATACCTGAAATGAAGTAAAATATTGTTTCGCAACGCCTGTAGTAGGTGTAAAACTGCAGGCAGTCTTTATCTGTCACATAAGCTCGACAAAAAAAAGATAGAGTGATGCATAAGGATAATAGTAGGTGCATATCAAGAGAGGAATGGGATTACGTCGACCTAATACCGAAGCATTGTACAATGCACAACATGTGCTCCAATGTTGTGATCTAGAATTTAAAAGGTGATAGTTGGGAAAGGAGTACAAAAAGAAGACGTATGAAGGATACAAAACCATAGTGTACCGATACAAGCTGTAAACGTAACAAAACGGTAGCAGGCGCTTTCAAGGTGGATGAGCGAGTTTTAGTTCAGATGCCGACACGCAGAGGTAAATTAGTTGAAAAGTATGCTGGTCCTTACTGTATTATCGAATTATCGGAAAATAGCGCTCTAGTTCGGTTAATTGATAAAACGAAGCAACCTTTTCGAGTTAAAATTAACCATCTTAAAAAGGTGCCCGTAGAAGATGAAGAAGGAGGACGCTATATGGGAGCTACTAGGTGCAGAAAAATAATGAGACGTATGAAAGATAGCATTAAGCAGGAGTTAAGGAGTGCGCTCTTCCAGGCTAGGGAGGCCTAACTTTTATTTTAGAAAAGTGACGATTAGGAAAGCAATGAGCCGACAAAGCCCGGAATATTTCAAGTTAGCCCCGGGCGAAATCCAGTGCGGCAAAATGGGCTCGTATTACCGGCCGCCCATCAGATCAATACGTAAGGAACCATGGGCTAACATATGCGATAACACACTGATTTCGAACTGATCTATTGGACTGGATCTATGGCAGTAGTTAATATTAGGGAACGCGCGCGCGAGAAGATAGCAGACAAAGTTTTTATTCTGTTCTGTCATTTTCGTATATTATTATGCCTTTTTGCAAATATGCAAACGCGAAAACTCATATTGTGACGACCCATGGTGTGCATGTGTGTGTGTGTGTATGTGTGTGTGTGTGTGTGTGTGTGTGTGTGTGTGTGTGTGTGTGTGTGT